AAGGTCAGTGAGGTCTCAAAAATAATACTCAGGTCTATAAAATGACACGAGCATGTCTTCTTTTCTCAGTCTTAGGTTAGGGAAGATAGTTAACTAATAGTAAACTATTAGGAACCTCTGGTTCTATACTTAACCCCCTTCCCACCTTCACACCCAACTCCGAGATCTTTTCGACCGTCACCAAACCAAAATCAGCATTGCTACATTAATAAGAACTGGCATTTGCTATGTACTTATAACAGGCTAGTCACTATCTGAGCACTTTATATGGACTGTGTCATCTTGTCCTCCTAACAATTCTATGAGTTTCTTATACCTGAGTGGGCAAGAGAATCTCCAGGGGAACTTTTAAATGGACTTTATTTTATTACAAGTATTTAAATGTTCTCATTAAAGATATTTTCATTTGGAGGCCAAAGTTTTATATCTTATTCTATCCTTGCTCAGTAAAAGCCTAGAAGGGCGTAAAATAGTGTTACCAGGTGTTTCTGATGTAGCTGGAAGATGGAATAACAACCATCCCTTTGAGATACTGTCCAGTGAGAAAAGCACAGGATTGGGGATCAGATGTTTTGAGTTTGTTTGTAACTTTTCATCTACTAAGTATTTGCTATGGGGTAAGTCATTTCGCCATACTTTAATAGAGTCATGTGTAAAAGGAAGAAAGCAACCCAGCATATCTGTATCAAGGATTAGGTCAGTGTTTTTTGGGGCCTAGGATATGCAGACTCTCTATTCTTTGGGTAAATGGAGAGGTGGATAGAGAAGTGAATAGTCTTGCTACCCGCCCCCCACTTGTCTGTTTTTCCTCTTTTCCTTTCTGTATTTGACCTTGTTTCTGTTCTTTGAATACATCAAACCGTTTCCTTTATACTTGCTCTTGAGGTGCCTGAAGAACTCTTTCCCCCATTGATCACCTGCCTAATCCTTCCTTCAAATTCCACCCTCTTAAAGTGGCTTTTTCTGAGCCGTATGTAAAATTGTCAATTTCTGGCTCCTGTTACTTTCAATACTTATCCTGCTTTATTCTCCCTACAAATCTTGACACCACTGATAACTACACAACATATTGCTCGGTTACTTGTTTGCTAACAGCTTTCTCTGCAAGAATGCCTTGGCACAGGAGCTTTGTTTTGTTCACCTAGATGTATATTAAAAGGTAGTTATTATTATGAATGCCTCCCTCCTGACTTGTGGATCCACACCTGTGAGCCGGCATAAGTTTGAGGAGTTGCGCATGCAAGCTGGGTGGATTCTTTTTCATGAATGGCACTGATGGATATCCTTGAAGAAATGGGGTGACCTAATTTCAAGGACAGTGAGGCTTTTTGTTCATAAATAGATACATATCTCAAAAAGAAATGGTCTCTAAACTCTTTGGAACAGATAAGTAAGAAGAGTTATACTGTCATTGCCATTTCATGATAACTCAAAAAAAAGTGAGACTATAACATGCTGTTTTGATTACTAGTTTATGTAAGAGTTTTATTAAGCTGATTCCCAAGCAATGTGTTCCAAAGTGGTTTATATGAGGACACTAATAAGGCAGCGTACCAAGCAAATAGACCAACTGTTACTTGGGCTGCTAACATGAATCCTTTCCATTGTCATGCTGAAGACTCTCCAAACTCTTACATCTAATATGGCTCAGGAAATCCAAGAGTTTGAAATTCACAATCTAGTCAAAGGCAAGCTCATTAAATGCAAGGACTTCACCCTTTATCTAGAGAGTACTTTCAAGGATTTCACTGATTTATATTCAATAATCAAAGCTGCAGAAAATTGGGAAAAGCATCAGCCTAATACTTTCTCCACTTGTTTGAAGGCACCTGACAAACTTTGTTTTTACGAGAATTAGGAATTGCAGAAACTTCTTTATTTACAAATAAAATGCTCATAGGGACGAAAAGGAACCTAACAGATATTTACTTAAAAGTGAACAGATATCCTTGAATTGCTTCCCAGTCGCATAAATTCCTCTGGTATGCAACATGAGCAGATTCTAACAGAATTCTTAACATCTTAAAGTCAAGAAAATCACAAGATTTTAAAAAGTTAGCTGTGTTCTAAACTTATTACTGGTCTCTTCAAGAGTGGAGCACAAATTAGTCTTCACTAATCAAAGAACAAACAGGAAAATTATAGAACAATAAAGAAAACACATGTAAGTTTTAGTGGATGACAGCAAAATAATGAGTAAACAAGTAGACCAATAAAATAAGCCTAAAGTAGTAGATGTGTTCTTAAAACATTAATTCATTTCTTTAACAAACTTCTCAAAGGTAAATTTAAATGTTCACTATTTGGGTCATAACATGAGAAGAGGAAGATCAAAAAGAAGAGAAACTAGATATCAAGCAATAATAAATACAGCTGACTCTTGAACATTTGGGGGTTAGAAGTGCAGACCCCACATACAGTTGAAACTTCACATATAACTTTCGACACCCTCAAAAACTTTACTAATCACTTACTTTAACTAGAAGCTTCACTGATAACATAGTTAACACGTATTTTGTATATTATATGCATTACATACTGTATTCTTACAATAAAGTAAACTAGAGAAAATAAAATGTTATTAAGAAAATCACAAGGAAAATACATTTACAGTGCTGTACTGTATTATTGGGGAAAAGCTGCCTTTATAGGACCTGCACAGTTCAAACTCATGCTGTTCAATTGTCAATTGTATTTCTCTGTCACCACAGTAAATAGCACAAGTCAGTTCTGACTTTTCCCTCTCCCACTACTGATTCTGTGTAACATTCCTTTCGTATATATTTGCTAATTAGCCCTAGACTGCAATTCCTTTTCTAATTAATATAATAGTTTCCAGTATCCCCTTCTGCCAATCACCGAGCTCTGGAGCCCATGGGACTCTACTCAGAAATGTAACTCTCAAAGCCATCATAGTCCCTGCTTCCTGATCAATCCTACTAAATCAGGCTCTTACTATGTTTTTTCTAATCAAAATCTTTTCATGGCTCACCCTTATGCACCGAAATCTGCCCAGAATCCTTGGTTGAGCATTTACGGCCATCTACGCATTTATTTTCAAGTCCCCAACATGGTTTTCAGCCTTACCTTTTCCACACATTGATTCCAAAGTATTTTGTTAAGACCTCTGTCATTTGAGCTGTGGTTGACTAGAGGCTTCGTTAGGACCCAGTGGTAAAGGACTCCCAGCCCTGCCCTCTAGCAGCTCTCATTTCATGGGGGTTGAGTGGCATGGGGACAAGTACATGAATAACCCATGTGTTAAGAAGAGTGGTGACCAAGGCTGCCCAGCCAACACTGAACACAAGTGTCCAATCCTGCCATCTTGTTGACCTTGCTTCATCAGTGGTCATTCATTTAGTTTCTGTTCCTAAATCAGAGCCCACTCCTGCCAATGTGCCATAATTTTGTTCATGATGTTTCCTCTCTGTGGAGTGTCTTGCCTGCGCCTTCCTTCATATCCCAAATACATCTGGTCCAAAGACTGGATTAGATGTCAATTCATCCACGAAGCTTTCCTTATTGTCTTTGTCTTAATATCTCTGATTTGAATTCCTATGGCAATTTGGTTGTATTTCCTTTTCTCATTCTGATCACATCCTTGCTTGTAAATTTTTGAAGTTTATTATCAAAGTCCCATTTCTCTTACAATTGTCTGCCTCTTCAGAACAGCAACTATGATTGTATACACACACACACACACACACATATATATAAACCTACAAAAAATAAAAAGCCTTTACAAAATAGGTGTTCAATGAATATTCCCTGAGCTAAAATAATAATAGGGAATAAGTTGTACACCAAACTCAATTGTAAAATAGAACAATAAGGGGATTAACATACAAATAGATCTCCACACGCTTGCAGTAAATCTATGACTTAAATTACAAGAAAAATTGACATGAGTAAGGAGGAGAGCTACCACTAACATACGGCATCCCCAGGCTGAAAGGGGTTAAGTTGATCTATCCACAATGGGAAGAAAATTCTTCATTGCCTTTATTAAACACTAATTTTAGGTCTTTTGGAAATTAAATGAACACACTGTTTATGCTCCATACACTTTCTGTCCTGAGTCTTGGAAAATACGTGAAATTTCCAAGAATTAAAGTTTCCATTAACACAAGTGCCAAATCAGGAGGCCTGACCTGTGGGAGAAAGCACATTTGTCTTTGCTGGCTCCTATTCAAAAAGCTATAGAAAGATATTTAGTGTATAACCTTTCTTGTGCGCAGTTGCTCTGTTTTATCATTCAGACCATCTAGACAAGAGAGAGAAGCTGCAACATTTCAGAAAGCAACCAATTACTGAAGAATGGCCGTTTGAGTTCTAAGTGCTGACAGCGATTCCTGTTGGTGGTAAACTTTCTCACTGGAAGAGACCCCCAAATGGTTTGTGTGGGGTTTTTTGTCTGTTTGTTTGTTTTACTTTCTTCTCTCTCTCTCTCTCTCTCTCAATCTCTCTCTCTCTCTGTCTCTGTCTCTCTGGAGTGGGGACGTCGTAGTGTGCCTGTGTGCGCGCGCGCGTTTAACCTCCTAAGCACTAGCTTTGGCTGGTGAAGAAACGGTTTACATACTGGGGGTTTCAGAACACCTGTATCATCCCTACTAGATGGAGATTTAATGTATATAAATGTGTGTGCACACAGCTTGAACACCTCAGAAAACTGTTTTCTGATTTCTATACCTGGTTTTATTCAATCTTAAATTGCCCAGTTATCTACCCAGATTAGAAAATGAAAAATAAATTCTCTTTACATCAGTGAACTTGCATCCAGCGAGTTCTCTGTCCCGAGCGGGGAGCCTTTTAAAGACTCGCGAATCAAGCAGGAGGCCCGGGGGTCTCGGCTACTGGAAGAGAGCCACAGGTCCCGCCCTCTCCTCCCCACCCCACCCGTGTTGCCCCTCCCTCCGGCCAGCTCCCTACCTCCGCGGGCTGAGCCTGCCCCCCACTCCCCTCCCTTCTCCGACTCGCCAGCTCCGGAGATCTGGCGCGCGTCAAAGCCTCCACCGGGAGGCTGATTTGTGGAACATCACCCCCAGGGTCCCCTTCCCCAGCCCCTCCTCCGTGCACTGCAACGGCCAGGGGGGTAGAGCGGAACCGGGGGAGGGGAAGAGCTACACCCATCCCCCTTCCTCGAGCCTCCCCGCGTTCAGAGGCAATTGCACCTTTTATTATTTTAACTCTTCTCCTTAGGACGCGCGGTCCCCGGACTCGCCCCTCCGGCCTTCGCGGTCCCTGCGCCCGAGCGGCGGGATGGGAGAGCGAGGGACCTGCCCGCGGTCGGCCGGCTGGCGCAGGGAGGTGCGGCCGCAGCGCCCGCTGCCCCGAGTCTGTAAGTTTCAACGCTCCTCCCGGGGAGGGAGGGGAGGCTGCTCGCACCCCCGCAAATGACTCAAAATGCCAGACGCAGCAGAGGTTTACAGCATCGGACGGACTTTTCGGGGCTCACTCTTTTAACTCTGTCTGCAGCCCGCAGGTTATCGTCCGGGTTTTTTCTGCGGCTTGTATGTTGGATCCCTTCGTTGTAAAGTTTTCAGTTTATAATAGTATGAATTCCAATGGGAATTTTTTTCTTTTTTAAAATGTAGTTCATACTTCTTTAAAATTTAAAATACTTCGTCGTTTGCAAGTTACTTAGCACATCGCTTATTATGATTTTTGTCAAATTTCACTAAACATGTTATTTATGCTGCGCCAGAGGCCACGGCCTTTTCTTTGCTTCCTTCTAAAAATAACGGAGAAAGAATTTCCACTCTGTACTTTTAATATTGCTCTATCGTCTAAGTAGTAAATAGATCATGATACCCAGCTGGCTTTAATTTCCACCATAGGCGCCGCGTGTTTGTATCTTTGCACTAATCTACAGACGCGGTTAAGCTCAGACTTATCTTTGAGCCTGCTGTTTACAGGACGGCTCCCGGTTCTGTTTTAACTAAGGCTCTGTCTGCCCGTCTGTGTTCATAACGATACAGAAAACTGAAACAGTTCCGATTCATACCAAATAATTTCTCCGCGATCCCAGAACTCATGCACAGACCAGATTGGTGTTTAGATTGATAAAATCATACCTTAGCTTTGCAAGTCCCCGGGAACGCATAGACATATCCCTGAATGCAAGAACCGAAGAGGTGAGGAAATGGGGGAGGGGGGGGGACGTTTTAAATCGTCGTTTCCCGTATGCAGGAGGACGTCCCGAGGGAAGAGGAGGCAGGTGAGAAACAGGTGAATAAGCTGGCTATGGTGACAGGACGATGTTGGCCAGAAAGAGCATCATCCCCGAGGAGTATGTGCTGGCGCGCATCGCCGCGGAGAACCTGCGCAAGCCGCGCGTCCGCGACCGCCTCCCCAAAGCCCGCTTCATCGCCAAGAGCGGGGCCTGCAACCTGGCGCACAAGAACATCCGCGAGCAGGGGCGATTCCTTCAGGACATCTTCACTACCTTGGTGGACCTGAAATGGCGCCACACGCTGGTCATCTTTACCATGTCGTTTCTCTGCAGTTGGCTGCTCTTCGCCATCATGTGGTGGCTGGTGGCCTTTGCCCATGGGGACATCTACGCTTACATGGAGAAGACTGGAACGGAGAAAAGTGGTTTGGAGTCCACGGTTTGTGTGACTAACGTCAGGTAAGAATGCAGTTGGATGAGGCAGGGATTGAAACGGCGTAGGAAAAAAATATGAAACTGTCCTTGCTTTCCTATTACAGTTATTTTTGTTAAAAGTGAAATAAAGCATTTGCTTTAGTACCTTCAGACACAAAGAAGTAAAAAAAAAAAAAAACAACTAATCTGACACATTAAAATCGTTTGAAAGGAAGCTTTATGGATGAGGAATCTCTGAAAATGTGGAGCTTCAATCTCTCTGGCTAGCTTTAAAAATACTGTACTGGTTATTTTAAAAATGGTTATGATTCAGAGGATTCCAGAGTGCCTCCCTCAGAAAAAGCACATATTTAGTTTTCAGTATGAAAAAAAACTGCTGGCCATAGTTCCAGTGTCCACAAGTAAATTCTGAACAACAAAAAATATTGTGTAAATGCTAGTAATATTGTTCCATGACTTCTCTTGCCCATGACATTTTCAGAAATAGTGAGGAAAATGGGGAAAAACTGGTGGAGAGGTGTCTTAGGCTGAAAATCCACTAAAATTGAAATATATAGATACAAGCCCTTCTTTACCAAGAGTATCTTATAAAATAGCTGGTTGCTAGCATTGGATTTCGAAATTAAAAGTTATGCTAAGATGCAGAACTAAAAAAAATAATTTTTAATAGAAATTGGTCCAGGTTTTTCATGGAAGGTATTGTATAGAAGCACCTTAATGCTGTGATTTTTCTTCACAAATTTTAATAGAATAGCAACAAGGCAGTCCTCAGACTGCCTAACTTTTGCTTTTCTCTTGTCATTGAAAGTGTCTCAATGGTAAGTAAAATGAATTTGATTTCACGTGTCCTAAAAACTTATTTTCACATGGCCTCAGAACATTTACATGGGGTAATCTGTCTTAATTTTTGTTGGAAGATGCAAAGAGATCATTTATATCCATTGCAACAATAGTCAGTCTGAAGTGAAACAATGGTAATCGTACTGGAAACGTTGCCAGGACATTTTACATTATCTGAGTAATAGTCCAAATTCGCAGAGTGTACAGAGAGCAAAGTAACTTGAACAAGCACCATTCTGGCCAGGCAGCTGTAAAGAATGAGACCTTTACTGACCCTGAATCTTCTGAACCTGGCATACCATTGCCAGAAGCGGAAGTCCAGACTGTGAACTTGTCCTTGACAGTCCTTCCATTTCCTAAGTCACTGCGTGCCAGCATATCAGGGAGGAATGCACCATTTGTGGGCAGAGATCACACGTCACGGATTCCAGCTCAGATTTTGAGAAGAGAAAATTATACCGAATTGATCCATTGCCTTTATCATCAAATAAATATCATTGTGTCTTGAACTTTTCACAAACGTCTGTCTGAAAGAAACTATAGATGAAAAATATCAGTGATCATCAGCGTACCAGGTGTAAAAGAAACAAAACACTGTTTTTAACAAGTATTTGTAGGCCAAATATCATTATCTATAATATTTCTCCTTAAGAAGTTTCTGGACACTGATATTGGTGAACCAATTTCATACCAAGATAAATTTTTAACAAGCATGCAGTAGATGCTTATAAAAAGAGATAAAAGAAACAAAAACAATAAACCTCGAAAGTAAATGGCAGGTCTTATATACAAGACAAATATATGGGCTTTTCCTGTGAAAAAGAAGTCATGAAACAGTTTATTAAAGACATAGCATCAAAACTGACATCCTTCAATGATTTTTTTAAAAAGAACTTTATAGAGTGAACTGGTTGTTAAAAGCTGTTTTACTGCTAGCTTTTATTTTTCACAAGATGTGTTCTGAAGCACGTTCATTCCCCTGATGCATTTCTGCTGGTATGAACATTCCATTTCCACTATGAGAAATGACATCTCAAATACAGTGAGACAAAGTTGATCTCATCAGCATGACAATTTTTACACTTTTAATTGTGCTTCTTACCTAAAAAAAATTACTTGAAACCTTTAAGGTTAACATCTCACTAATTTTATTTTTAATGCTTTGCTATTATTTATACTTTATCTCAATATTTAGTTTAATCATAACAAACCATACATCATAAAAATTTTTCACCAAAAATGTAAAATCAGAAAAGTCTCCATTCTCTCCCAAAGGGGATTAAAAGAATATTTCTTATTCTTTGCATTTCCTTGCCTTTCAAAAATTCAGTGCCCCACCATGTCATTCAAAATCAGAAACAGCTTATTTATAGTGATGGTTGCTCACCAGTATGTCCAAATAACACTCTACCATTCTCATTTTAGGATCATTTTCTCTTTCATGTGGATGACTTTCCAACGTGAGTCAGAAAATAAACCAACATATTTTCTCTCATTCAGCCTAACTCCCTCTGTACCAGAACAAACAAGCAGCCGAACACTTTCATGTTCTGAGGGTGTTTAATATGACAGGTGTCCATAAAAGGCTGGGTCTTGCACCATGTAATATGCAGAGTTAAATTCTTTCATAAAATAAACAATATATAAAATATGGCACACGAATAATCTCTCAAGCCATTAAAATGAAACATGTGGGAATGTTCACCATCAGCCTGCTCCATGAAGTACATATACGTTATTAGGAATCAGTGATGTATCCAAGCTCCTCCCCTGGGGTCCATTCTTACTCTTTGCGAGTTTTGGATCATACAACACATCTTCTGTGTAGCTAGTGCAAAAAGCACTTATTGTGGTTTTCCATGCTTCTTTTTAGCAACAAAAGGACTAAAAGGGCAATTTTTCACGTTCTGCTGAAAGTTAGTCAAAAAAATCATGTATGCTTACCCCTCATGGTGTTGCACCAAAGGACACTGCATATACTCAGAATTCAAATGTTTAAGCATTTTGCCCACTCATTGTACATTACATTTATAGATAGATAATACTTTGACAGATAGCCTATGCGTGGTTAATCTATAAAATTAGAGAATTTTGAAATTGGCATTAGGGACAAACACAGGACTAAACTTGTTTTTGTTAAGAAGCCATGGCAATGTAGGATATGTGGTTAAGTGAATAAATTAATCTTAAGAATAACCAAATGTGGTGCATCTTAACCAGGGGAACAAATCAAATTTACCTGAGTGCTTTTCATTAAGTTTTGCCCAGGTCGACTTTGAACTTGCCCAATCGGTGTTTACATTGAGATATGGAAGAGACATACAATTTGAAAAACTTCCCAAGAAAATACTGACACTTGTCCACTCTTTCGTTTTGCTTCTTTCAAAAGAGTATTAAACTAGAAGTGACAGAATTCAAATTCTCATTAATTATGTGATCTTGACACAGCCACTTACTAAGCTCTGCCTCAAATTTTTCCTTTAATGGCTTCAGTATCCACTAGAATTAGAGAACAAAATGAGACAATCAATTAAAAAAAAGTTTTCTTTCCAGATGTCAAAATATTCTTTTTATTAAAAATACTAATATTTTTGAGTGATGTGTTCTGTACCACCTTTAAGCACCGTGATTTGTCTGTATAAGGTACACAATAAGTGTTAGCTAATGAATATGATTTTAAGGGTTGTAAATAATAAAAAGTTCATTCATTACTCAATACCTTCCCATATGACTCAAGTCACTGAAACACAGATATGCAATAAATGATAAACCTGGTAGAAAGTTCACCAAGTAAAGTGTGCCTTTGTGAAAGTAATTCACAAAGTAAAATATGCCTATAGATACAAGTATGTATTTATTACTTTAACTTACTCTTTTAATGCTTTCATATAAGTAGGCCCATCATTATGTGATATAGAAAACAATAGAATTGTATCCCAGAGGTCTGGAAGTAGATGTATTCTGATGAGAGAGAGGGAGAGAGAAATTGTTTGTGTTTAGAATCAGACATTTGACAAGTTAGTTACCAAGTGTTTCCAAAAGCATTTGATAGCCTTTGGAGGAAGAAAATGGAAATTTCATCTTGGCATGTCATTTCATTATTCAAAATTTGATCTGATGGCACTGTTTTCTGATATCACTCCTTACAGGTCTTTCACCTCTGCTTTTCTCTTCTCCATTGAAGTTCAAGTGACGATTGGATTTGGAGGGAGAATGATGACGGAGGAATGTCCCTTGGCCATCACAGTTTTGATTCTCCAGAACATTGTGGGTTTGATAATCAACGCAGTCATGTTGGGTTGCATTTTCATGAAAACAGCTCAGGCTCACAGAAGGGCGGAAACCTTAATTTTCAGCCGCCATGCTGTGATTGCTGTTCGAAATGGCAAGCTGTGCTTCATGTTCCGAGTGGGCGACCTAAGGAAAAGCATGATCATTAGTGCCTCAGTGCGCATCCAGGTGGTCAAGAAAACAACCACACCTGAAGGGGAGGTGGTGCCCATTCACCAGCTGGACATTCCTGTTGATAACCCAATTGAGAGCAATAACATTTTTCTGGTAGCGCCTTTGATCATCTGCCATGTGATTGACAAGCGCAGCCCCTTGTATGATATCTCAGCAACTGACCTCACCAACCAAGACTTAGAGGTCATAGTGATTCTTGAAGGAGTGGTCGAAACTACGGGCATTACGACACAAGCCAGAACCTCCTATATCGCTGAGGAGATCCAATGGGGCCATCGCTTTGTGTCCATTGTAACTGAGGAGGAAGGAGTGTATTCTGTGGATTACTCCAAATTTGGCAACACTGTTAAAGTAGCTGCTCCAAGGTGCAGTGCCCGAGAGCTGGATGAGAAGCCTTCCATCCTTATTCAGACACTCCAAAAGAGTGAACTATCCCATCAAAATTCCCTGAGGAAGCGCAATTCCATGAGAAGAAACAATTCTATGAGGAGAAACAACTCTATTCGAAGGAACAACTCATCCCTCATCGTGCCAAAGGTGCAATTTATGACTCCAGAAGGAAATCAAAACACTTCGGAATCATGACAGCAAGACAACCTCAAGAAAGTCTTTTTATCAAGTTGACAGTTTATGCAAAGCACTGTCAGACTATTTCAGAGAGGAAACACAGTAATTTGTCCTTCTATATTTTCATGCACCAGATGATACTCATATTCAAGCAACAGCACTTTCTATGTCAATAAACAGTAACATGCAACATGGAGGATTCATGGCTGACATTTGTTTCATACGTGCAGTATTTGCAGTGATATGCTTATATTATGTATAGAAAACAGTATGTTCTCATTTTTATCCATTTGAAACCCGAGAATTACATTACTTGTAATAGACTTTGAATACAAAAGTTAACCAAGGAATGATTCATTTGAGTTGCTTAAAGGTGAAAACCACAGATTGCTCTGTTTCAATTGGTCAATCTGGAAATGCAAATAGGATAAGGAGCAGAAACCCCAAATTTTACTAGTAACACTTTTTGTACATCAACCAGTATGTTGCCCTCTCCTTTTTCTAGATACTGCACCTGATAAGAAGCCTAAGGCAAAAACTGCTTGTCTGTAGATGCTTCTAAACAGATTCTGTTCAGTCACTTCTTCACAATGACCTTTGCAGCTTTCCTCATTCTCCTGATTTCTTCATTCTCCTGATGGCAGCCTATTGGCGGAACAGGGCAAGGAGCTTTGGAGAAAAGCTAAGAGCGTTCCTGTTTCATTTAGGACTGTATTGAATATTTTATTAAAATATTTTCTTTGTAGTCACTGTAGTTTTGTAATTTCTCTTTCACAATATTAGCCCTGGTCAAAGCTCAAGGGAAGAAAAAAAACGTTTTTAGAGGCATGTGAAAGAGATATCATACAGTGACAATACCTCATAGATCTTCTTGTCTTTGAAATTGGTTATTCCAAGGGCACTATATTTTTTTTTGTTTAAAAAATTTTTTTAATGTTCATTCATTTTTGAGAGACAGAGCATGAGCATGAGCAGGGAAGGGGCAAAGAAAGAGGGACACAGCATCTGAAGTGGGCTCCAGGCTCTGAGCTATCAGCAGAGAGCCCGACCTGGGGCTCAAACCCACAAACTGCAAGATCATGACCTGAGCCGAAGTCAGGTGCTTAACCGACTGAGCCACCCAGGAGCCCCTCATTTTGGTTTTATTTTCTTCCAAGATTTGAAATGTTTCTTAGCTTTTCTATCTGAGCCTGGTATATCACGGAATCTTACAAACTTTTTTCTTCGAATCTTCAACCTCCCATCTTAAAATTATTCTTCCTTCCTTAATTCAGGCCTGGCATACATAGTTTAGCTTTATTTCACTTGCTAAAATGAGATTTTTTTTCTTTAATTAAGGCTTGATTTAATAATCCTGAGCTCCTCTTTCTTCAAGGAAGGGATGAGGGCACAAAGACAAGCACTTCTTTGAGAAGCTCTGGGTTTATTCTATTTCACATCAGAAACATCAGAAAGCTGAACTCTCGTATAGCCTTTAACACAGAGTTGGGGATTTTATTTTACTTTGTTTATGAAAATTTGAAGTAGGCAAGTAATCATGAATATATTAAAATCCTAAATTAAACAAAAGACTCATGATTCTAACCAGATGAATGGAAATCATTTGTTGGGTTACTAAGTTAATCATTTTGGAACAGTTCTGACCACTCCTTTGAACTCCAGACTCATGTAGCAAGCAGGTACCTGAAGCTCCACCTGGTAAACCAATATGCCTTTAAAACGTGCCGAAAACCAAACACTCCATTTCCACTAACTAAATCTACCCCTAACCCCCACTCTTTCTTCCAATCAGGCCAAAACCTGGGAATCATACTTGACACCTCTCTTTCATACCTCACATGGCATCCATTAGCAAAGCTTGTGGGGTCTGCAGTCAAAATACATCCAGAGTAAGACCAGTTTCTCTACCTCTACCACTTACTCTGTTGTCCAAGCTGGGTACTCATTACCCAGTATATATGGATGCAGCTATAGCAATTGTTAGAATATTAAACCATTTTTGAAAAACCATTGCCAAAGAAAAAAATCTATTAATAAGACTTAGCCCAATGGAGGCTTCAGAGGTTGGTATCAGGCTTCATAGCAGTTCTGGTACGGAGGCAGGTCCCCCACTCTCACACCAGAGCAGCTGAGCAACTGAGCAGACTCAGAAGGCAGCTGCCACACCAACAGTTAGAATATGTATAATGCCTGCCTGCTGCCAGATGACAAGCCAATGCTAGCAGAGGTGACAGAGTTTACAGGGTAGGTAGTGTTGGGTATAGTCAGTGGGACTGAAATGCAGGATTTTTGAGTTCAAGCGATACAGAATTCCCTGGCACCGGGGCAAATCTAGCTACAGAGCATGAGCAATTCCCCCAGACCCTTCCAGCTGCAACCAAATGCTAAGTGCCAAACACCTAATGACTATCAGTTCAATGGGGAAGTCAAAGAGTTTGATGGTGCCTCCTATGTCCTATGGTTCAGGCAGGGACATCATTTAGCTGGTGACAGCCACATTAAAGAAAATATCACATTTATAATTCCTAAAACTACGCAGACGTTTTAGAGTATTACAATGATTTGAGAACCTATGTTTGTTAATATATACTTAACTGGCTAAAAAGTGTCAGGAACTATTTAGGTTAGTTTTAGAAAACAGACTCTGTGTGTGTGTGTGTGTGTGTGTGCGTGTGTAATTTTGACTTATGAATTGAATTGAAGTATTATTTTATATTAAATAATTAGAGTCTCCAGTTCTACCCTAGTCTTCATACAGAAGCCACAATATTCTTTTAAATAATACTACATCACACCTCTGCTTAACCTCCCATCACACCTTCCATGCCTTTCCAGTTTTCTAACAATGCGAACCAAAGTCTTTCCCAAAGCCCATAAGCCACTACATCTCATCATTCTTCCCTCAACCATTTCCATTCTCTACCACACTGGCCTTGCTGTTCTTTGAAAAGGAGCCATACATACTTTTCCGTATCATGGGTCTGTTTCTACCTAGAGCATTATCGCCAGAAAGCCTCATGGGCCTCTCCTGTCATTATTTAGTGACTGGAGTGCCATCTCATGTGACAATATAATGTTGCGGTTAAGGAAATAAACTGCAGCCAGAGTCTCTTAATTTAAATTCCAACACTTAGCATCTGTGAGGTCTTGACAAATTAATTTTTTTACCTCATTTTCGCCATGCATAAAAGCAGAATGATTATAGTACCTACCTCATAAAATTTTGTAAAGAGTGAGTTAACGTGTATAAAAGACTTGGAAGAGTTTAATTTGCTTGCCCAGAACAAAAGCTTGAAACGAAATTTCAAGTGCCTTGAAATTAGTTACATTCTTAGTAAATGAGTAACAGTGCATTCCATCTGTTCTCTAGGACAGAGACAAAAGATCTTTGTAGTGCAAAACTGATCTTTTAAATCTGCAGCAGAGATCTTATATCTGCGCACTTCCAGTTATTATGTTTCTTAATTCTTTGATACCTGCCACTTGTTTGTCATCAAATTATATAATGTGTAAAACACTATAATGTGTAAAAGGAAACGTTTTATATACAGAGGCTATTTCTGGTTTTACGTATATATCATTCATTTATTCATCTGGTAATATATTTTCAGTGTCTGACACTTACCATCTGGCAAATATAGCAAAGTGTGTTTCTTTTTATAAAAAAGGACCAGAAATTTATAGGCAAGGTAGGTGTTGATTCTGGTCTTAAGTAATCTTAGATGGAAATCACTGGCTTATGAACCAGAATTACAGAAAAGGGAGGTGCCTGGGTGGCTCAGTTGGTTAAATGTCCAACTCTTAGTTTCAGCTCAGGTCATGATCTCACAGTTCATGAGATCAAGCCCCACATCAGTCTCTGCCCTGATGTCTTGGAACTTGGTTAGGATTCTCTCTCCCCTTCTCTCTGCCTCTCCCCCACTCACGCTTGCTATCTCTCCCAAAATAAATAAATAAACATTTAAAAAAGAATTACAGAAAAGACACTTCCATATCAAAATCAAAGTTGAGACCTACCCCTAGTTACTAAGCAAGCATGGAGACAACAGAAGATCGAGAGCTGCTGCACATATGGCTTTGCTGAGAGCTGCGCGAGAAACCAGAACATTGTTCGTCCTTAGAACTACCATTTTTTCCTGCTTTACCTTATCCCAATATTAGTTTTATTCTACAATTTCTCTTCATTTCCCACTTGGCTCAAGACTTTCTCAGAGTAAAAATCTTGCTTCCCAAGCTATAGACATTTCTAAATACCCCTGGCCAAGTGTTTTGGCACATAAGTGTCTCAGAACCAGCAGTGACTTAAAGAAATGACCTCAGTTCCCAAAGTATAACTCCCAGAGAAGTTACTAGCCATTTAGTCAACACAAGGCAGTATTCTTTCTCCTCCATTGATATGAATCATTTTTGTTGTTGTTGTTTAATAATTTGGCATTTAAGAAGCAAGAAGTTTCCTCTTTAAAAGTAAATTAATTATAAATAAAGAAGAATGACAAGTTATCTACGTCTCTTGGGGTTCCTACTCCCAACTTTTGTCGTTTTCAGCATGTCGAAGGTAGAGGCAGATCTGAAATTAGTGTCTCTAAGGACCAGTGCATTAAAATAACCAAAACAAATCCTACAGGCTGTTTAAGAGGAAACCCAAGGGCCATGCTCTTCCCATGATCTTTACGCACAATTCTCATCAATGGTGATGGGAATTTCCCCACAGACCTAGGAAGGAAGTGACTCTAATTACGCCCCTTGATAATTTACTGCACAGATTCAAGTTTAAGTTCATGAAAATTTTAATCAGCCTTTAACTTCAGATCAAAATATCACATTGGAGCCAAATTTCATGTCAGATCATTCACGTCTTCATTAGTACTCTTTTTTATTGTTGTCCTAGTTCTCATGAAGATTTTCTTGGCAGTACTATATGACACCCTTCCCCCCAACTCTAATACTCTCTGGGGTAATTTAAATGAAACTATTACTTTGCACAGTGTTTATTTTAATCACTTGAGAAAACAAAAATATTAAGGCTGGATTTCTACATCCTATTGGATTACTTTGGTTTGAATTAAATAAATATTGAAAATGTAGAGGATAAAATAGTTATCTGTAAAAGTGAAGTTAAAATAGACTTTTCATTGAAAAAGAAAGCTTCAATTGTTTATCATTGACTGTTGATAAAAGCTCACATTCTTTAAACATGACACTCAAGGCCCTTTGTGGTCTGATTCCAACAAATCTTTCCTTCCTCTTGCAGCTTCCATTCTCAACCCT